TTTTTGCAACTAAATATCAAAAACCAGGTTATTACAGTGCTTTCTTCCGGAACTTATGCAACTGTTATGTATTACCAGTTCAAATTTCTACATAATCACGGATTTCTTCAAACCAAAGGCATGACACATGCCATAAACGCCTGAAGTGCTATTCCTTAGGTGTGAAAGGAAGCACTCTAGTATCTCTTTTACAGGGATGCTGGAAAGACAACACTGTAAATGCTTGGAAGGTTTTCAGAGGTTGTGGGTATAGACATTGTACAGTATGAGGAAAGGCAAAAAGAACCAACTCGTGTCTTTAATGAGAAATTACATGTATGCATTAGACCTGGAGACTTGGAGAAAGGTCATCTCTGTTGTTCCCAAGTCTGTCCTTGGTCTTCTAGGTGCCCCTGGAAAAAGCACTTTTCTTCTCAGTACATCCATTTCCTCAGCCATAGCATGGGAACAATACTACTGACCTTATAACTGAGGAGATTGGGAAAGCTGAATTCACTTATGTGCAAAATGCTTCACAGTTTGCATCACAGACCATGGATTAGAATAAGCAGTGTCACTGTCCTGGTGCAACCCCAGTGGAGCTGATTTTGAGACTCTCATGTTCCAGTGCTAAAGCAAGGAAAGCAAAAGCCATTCTTGCTTTAAACAGCAGCAAAGGCTTCTTGCACTTTCTGACACACACCTCGGAAAAAGATGACACGGCACATTGCAAGCCATGTGTCAAGGACAGCCACACAACGTGCCTCTGCAACATGAGAAGCCATACCACCTCTTCCATGAAGTCCCATCCCTGGGACATCCCATCCCTCTGCAAAACACACCATAAGCAAAAACAAGGGCTGCAAGAGAACCCCAAAACTCTGTTGTATTTTTGTGCTCCACAGCTTCCCTGGATCACTTGGGAGAAGTCTCTCAGTGCCTCTGATCTGCCTTGGAGAGCCTACCAGGACAGCAAGCACTTCATGGTAATTTGTCACTCAGTGCTGCAGGTCAGGGACTCATGTTCCCTCTCCTGTAGAAAGCCTCTGGCAGTAATTTTCCAAACTTTAGTGTATCCTTTGTCTCTGAGAAAGATCCATAACCTGAAGTTGCAGAGGGTCTCCTACACAGCAGGAACTGGTCAGTGTCCTGCTGCTTCCCAGTGACAGGGATTTTGCTCCTTGCCTTATTTTGCATGGCCTCAGCATTTATGGTTTGTACCCTTCTATACACCCTGCTCTTTGCAGTGCCACGATGGAAATGTCTGTATAAATGTGAATTTCAATAGCCATTATACTCTCAGCACAGCAATCCGTGTTTGGTACCTCAGAGCCTGTTAATCTGTAGTAGTCATGAGGTTACTTATCTCTGGCTCTTTTCAAATACCTCAGCAGTGGATACAAAAGGGAAATGGCAGGAGCTATTCTTCTCTGGAGTCTGAGAGGGGTTTTTTTCCTCTTTTCTTTTCTTTTCTTTTTTTTTTTATTTTATTTTATGCTGTACTGTTGCTACATTACATTCAAAAGCAATGGCAAAGTTTGCAAGAGAGATGATAGATGAAAATCTTGCAAGTTTCTGCTACAGTAAGACTCAGCCCACAAGAGCACCTATTTGCAGGGTGTTGTTTCAAGGGCCCAGACTGCTTAGCTGTCTGATAGCTAATTAAAGCACTGTGATCTCAGAGCTTTGAAAGATTTAGTTCAGATCTTGCTTGGGGTAATTTTTAGCTCTACAACCTATTTGCTGATGAATCCTCAGCTCCAGCCTACAGGTGTTGAGCTACAAAGGGATGTTTGGAGAGGGGTGCTTGTAGACATGGACTTAGGCACTGTTAAAAGGCAAAAACAGATGTGGATCCACAGAGACTTGTAGTGAGGATAATGAGAGCTAAAAATGTGCAAAGAAAATAAATTATGAAAGAAAACTATAATTTTGATTGGATTTGGAGTGTTGTTGCTATGGTGAAAAATTTGGGATGCTGAATCGCTTAACCTCTACCATTGCTGACATCCAAAGTTGAAGCCATTTCATCAATCAAAAACTGGAAAAGAGTTCTCCCTAAGGGACAGTCCTTATCCCTTTCTGTCTCCCTAGGTGGAGTGTTGCAGAGCGATAGAGCACTAGGAGATCTCACTGTGTAACCAAGCGTGACTGAAACATGGCCACAAAAAGAGCATTAAGGCACAGGCTCCATGATTAACCAGTTAGGCAAGTTGGACACACTGTCTAATGAGGGACTGAAGAAAATTCTCTCATGTGGGATGAAGTGTCCCAGATGAGAAAATCCAGGGAAATCCATTTGTGGAGCTGGGTTTACAAAAAGAAAGGGAGGTGTTGGACTTGCACTTCCAACCACAACTGGGCAGAGCTGATCCTGCAAATGGAGAACAATTGTACCAACTAAGACAGGACACAAAGTATAGCAGATGTGAGGGAATGAAGAGAATGCTGAAGGTGCTTAGCAAAGAGACCCAAAAGATGGGAGTGGTCTGGCTCTTGTGAGGAGTTGGTAAAAATACAACTTTATTTTCTACATATGGCAATTAAGATACTAAAAATTCTTCAGTAATTTGGTAAATGAGAGACTCTTAGTCAAGAGACAAAGACAAAATCTTCGTATTTGTTGTGCATCACCCAGTCTTTGGAATAAGGATATAGAGCAGGATTTTCTCCTTGCCTACACTGCAGGTTCCCAGAAAATTCAGTAAAGGACAATGCTGAGCTCCTTGGAAGTATCTTTAATTCCTATTGAATTTCTGCAGGCACAGCCATATATGAAAATAATCAAGACACAGCAAAATAAAAGCAAAGAGCAAGGCCTAGCAGCCCAAAATAAACTATGCTCCTTTTCCTACTGATCACCTCAACTCCTTGCTTTATTCCTAGCCAAATTGGAGAGGGAAATAGCTAAAGTATTTCAGATAAAATAAGCCAAATAATGCGTACCTGAAAAAAAAAATCCATCTCAAAAGCCATGGGCCAGGAGCAAAGAAATGAAGTTGAATTAAAATCTGGCTTTCTTCCCTCCTCTTCCACTTCCCCACTGAACTAAAAATCTTCTGCCAGCATCTGCTTGTGGAAAGGCAAAGGCTTCAGGCATCTGTTTTTTTCTGCGCAGTATCATTTTAATTACATGAGCAACCACCAGTACAGTAAAGGAGTCTTGCATTTTCTTCAGCAAGTCTTCTTGTTTGTCTGGCCTGGAAGGAACATGCTTTTGGTGTCTTTCCTTGTGCATCCTCATGCATGGCTCACTGTGACCTAACTGCTGTCTGCTGTTCCTGCCTCACGGGGATAGATATTCAGAAGGAAGAAAGGAAATGAGAGAGTGCCCAAGGTGCTTCACAACATGACTTGGTTTGCCTTCTGAATTATTGCTGCCACAAGCTAATGAACATTTCTCCCCAGACTTTCTCTCACAAGGACGGAAAACTCAGTTGGCTTAACAGGATTTTCCTGTTGTTGTGGGTGCAGGCTATGCAAGCCAGAAATGAGAAATATTTTCATGGTTTGAGGCAGCTGAACAAAAGTAATCAAAAGAGAAAAAATAAAGAGAAGCTGTTGTAGTAATCAGGACATGCAATGAATGAGCTCAGATTTGCATTCAAAATTAACCTCAGAACCTCAGAGGCAGAGAAATTTGAGGCCATCTTTTCAGCATGCTTCCTTGACATCTACTGGACTTTCAAGGTCATGAATAAAATTTTGTTGTATATGTATGAGTGTATATTTCCCTGCTGATTATTTATGTGAACTCTGGCATGGGTTCTTGTGCATACAGTCGGAGTTTACTCCAATGCATTTGCCAATGCCTCAGTACTGGTGAGGCCTCACATTAAGTACTGCTCTCAGTTTTGGGCCCCTCACTGCATGAAAGACGTTGAGGCGCTGGAGTGTGTCCAAAGGGCACAGAAGCTAGGAAAGGGCCTGGAGCACAAGTCTTATAAGGAGCAGCTGAGGGAGCTGGGGATATTTAGCCTGGAGAAGAGGAGGCTCGGGGAGACCTTATCAATCTCTACAACTACCTGAAGGGAGATTGTATCAAGGTGGGGATTGGTCTCTTCTCCCAGGTAACAAGAATGAGAGCAAATGGCCTCAAGTTGCACCAGGGGAGGTTTCGATTGGATATGAAAAAAAATTCTTCACTGGAAGGACTGTCAAGCCCTGGAACAGGCTCTCCAGGGATGCAGTGGAGTCACCATCCCATGAAGAATTTAAAAGTCATGTAGATGTGGCACTTAAGTACTCAATAATTGTAAAGGTCTTTTCCAATCTGAATGATTCTATGATTCTAAAGCTATTTTCTGGTGTTTACCTAAGCAAAGTAATAATCTAGTTGTACTTACAGCACTTTTCAGCCAAAACACTTGGGGCACTGCAGAACAACAATAGAAATGCTTTAGAACACAATCCAAACACAGTATTAAGAACATCTTATAATTCAAACAAAACATGCTGAGTTCCTAAGAGGCAATGCCATGGAGATGTAAAAGAGAATAAATATGTGGTTACAATGGTTTTGTTTCAAAGCACACTGTGAGCAAGTGTGGTTTTAGATGGATTTAGCAGAGAAGTGGCGGTGGGGTGAGCTCCTCACACCAGAGCCCTCTCTGACAAAGATTGACTTTAAAAGCTGAGCTGTGTCTGGTGCTAACACAAGTCAAATTAAGCTGGAAGCAAGCAAGCCAGGGGTACTGCAAGGATCAGAGCCGTAAAGGGCTTTCACTGAGCAGTATCAGTGTGTGACAGTCTCTCTGCCCCAGAGGAGGCAGCTGTCAGGTTGAACACAGGGCACGTGAAATTTAATCTTTGCCTACTAGTTTTCACCTACTAGTGGGGATTGAGGGACTGACTTCCTAACTGATACAGGAGCCATGTGAAGATACAAGGAATGACACTGTGACCCCAAAGGTGAGGCTGCAACAAATAGCAAAACCTGTGTTTTGTACCCATGGCCCACCCCACGTACAAAATAAAAAAAAAACACACCACCCTCCTCTTTTATTGTTCTCAGCCCTTACCTTCCCATGGATTTACGAGGAGAAACACAGGCCAGCCCACTGGGAGCACCAGCTTGCCTGCTCAGCCGTCAAGGGGATCCCAGCAAATGCCATCAGAGCAGTTGTTATTCCTCCCATGCAATATCTCTGAGCACAGCACAGAGATATAAAGCCAGCAGAAGCCCCGCAAACAAGAACCCCGTGATTTGTTGAGAGCCTTCTCCAAGGCTAGCTCTACATAACAGGAGCTGCATCTGAAGATAAGCGTCTTGCTCCAAGGCTACTGAAAGCTGAACAAACCCATGTTTCTTTGTTGTGCAGCAAGCAGAGCTCTAAGCTGGATGCTGCCCAGTGCCTTCCCCGTGTAAATAGGGGAGATCCTGCTCAGATGCCAAATGTTAGAGCTGCCTTTGAGTCCCTGACATTGATTTCAGCAGGATACAATTGCTGAAGCTTGGTTCTCACTGAACAAAATGAAAGACCTTAAGCGAAGTTGTGCCTGGTGGAGCTGAATTTGGTGTAGCAAGAGAAAGGCTGAACACTGCCCTCTGCCTTTTCAGCTCTATGAAATAGGCATTTTTCACTCCCAGACTCCTGTAGAATTCCAGGAAAAGTGCCAGGAAGCTCTCAAGAATGAGCTTTAGTTCAGGGCTGAGCCCTGCTGGGAGTGTGCACAGTGAACTAGAAGTACTGGTGCGAGGCAAGAGCACTAGGGAGGCAAAAAGTGGTAACCAGGAAAGCACTAACACTCGAGTGGAGCAGGACTGTTCAGTATTGGCTTGCTTAAGGGTGTACCAGGAGGCCATGGATCATGCTGGATGTCCTGCAGGAGTCCCACTGCCATTGCAGCAAAAGACCCCAAAACAATCTGTCTGGCTCTTGACAACCGCGTGCCAGAGTTCCACGCTGTGTGAGACCTGATGTAGTGTAAAAATAAATGCAGTATTTTAATAGAATCCCACTGACATAAACACAATCACAAAATTTCATGTGCCAATTCAATCACAAATGTCACATCCATATTTTCACTCTAATTTAAAGACCATTAGATGATCTTGGCCCAAACTTTAATTTAATATATCCAGGTAGGGAAAGAGCCTTCATTGTATAAACAAAATTACTTGTTTGCTTTATCAGAGTAGCATAGAATACAAATTAGTTACCAATATTTGTACAGCATTTAGACTATGACTGAATTGCTTAGGTTCTTGGAGTATCCTCTCAAGAGGAGACAAAAAGAAACTGTTCTAGCATCTCTGTGTTCTCTCCAGCAGCTGTCCCCATTTGATGCAAGGAAGTGGGTCTGGCTGGCAGGGGTCATACTGGAATTTCTCTTCCACAATGACACTCCCCCCAAATGTCTAATTGTTTCATGAAATGTAGGGTGCTACATATCTCAGAATGGGCACTCCCAATGAAGGCATTGGTGACTGAGAGAATAAAAATTTAAGGTCATATTGAATCAAGAACCAGAAAAGCTTAAAATTTATACTATCAGAGCCACTACTTATTTTCTTCAGTCTGTGCCTTAGCTGGAGAAGTTCCTCTGGCAATAAAACCAGCATCCCTGCAAGACTTGGGGCCAGATACTTTAGGCTAGTAGACCCACCCAGGTCTAAATTTATTAGGCAGGGCCATGCAAGAACAGCCAGAGCATCTCTGTCATTTCAAGGTTAAATGTTTGAATTTATCTAATACATGAAAGAAGGTGAAACATCAGGATATATTGGACCAAATGGTATAATTGGCCCCCCAAATGAGGACTGAATTCCACCTGTCCAGAATCCCTAAAGTTCTGCCTTTCTCTCCAGAGACTTCCCATTATGCTGCCTCATGTATTATCAGTGACACCAGACCTATATCTATGGCCTCTCTTCCTGTCACAGTCCCTACACATCACACAGTGACATTGTCCTTTCCTTCTAGCTTTCAGAAGGGATGACATTTTCGACATCACCCTATGAGCACGGAGTAAAGAAACAGCAAAGCAGCAAGCTATTACAGGATGAAAATGCACAGATCCACCTAGTTAGCAATCTGAGGGTTTTGCAGGTAGGTGATGTCCCCTGTAGGTTTCTTCTTCAGATGGATAGAAAAAAGGTATATGGAAGAAAGAGTCTCTCCCAGTCCAGGGCACTTGGTGAGAAAGAGACTGAGTGTGTTCAGAAACTTCCAAAGTTTGTCTCGTTCCTTTAGGGCACAGTTACACTTTTGGGTGTTTGAATTAAAAAACCTCCTGGGGTTTCCTTGTCCATTTTGAGAAACTCCTTTCTTATGTGAAACACTTCCCTTGGATGTATGGGCTCAAGGAAGTGAAGAAAATGTGCAGCCTGGGAGAAAAGCCTGGAAAGGCCAGCTATTCTAGGCATAAGTTTGAAGCTGCTGAAAGAGACAGGTTATGTTTCACTGAGGCCACTTCTGCCTTCCTATTCTATTATTCTCCTTTTCCCACTTCATTTTTGCCTGAAAATAACTTAGGGATAATAATCAGCAGTAACACAAATAACAAAAAATGACATATACCCAGAAACTAATAAACGAGATGCTTTTCTGGACTCTATAACAGTGTTGGAAGTCACTGAAGAACCTGACAGCCACATTGCTCCAACCTCTCCGTATCAGTTTCTTGCTTTATTTTTCATTGTTGTCAGCACTATATCTATTCAGCAGTGTTATATGTAAAGGAAGAAACAAAGCATTTCGTGATGCCCAATTTTCTGAGGTTCTAGCTCAGTTTTAACTCAGTCTTTCTTCAAGCTCCTTTCAGAGAAAGAGATGAATCATGATTAAATAGGGGGCATGAAAATAGGAAACAGATAAAGAGAATATGAAGTGTTTCTCCTGGAATTTTGTTCATTCTTCAGCCATTGCCCTCCATTTATGTACAAACAGGTGAAAGGATGGGTACAAATATGTTCCAGGCTAGACACAGTAAAATTGATGAAGACTGCAGACGCCAGAGCAAATGAGATCTCTGAGGGCTCAGAAACAAACTTGCTGACATATCCACTCAATATTCATAGAAATGAGCTCAAGAAACTTTGCTCAGTTAAAGACTGGCTGTGGGGAAAAGCAGATCCAAGCTGAACTCCAAAGAAGTGTTTTTCTGGATGCATGAGATCTGGGTCAAAAGACACATAATTGGCTGAGGGATGCAGTATATTATAATGACATCTTCCAGAACCAGTGTTTTGAAGCAGTCTGGCTTAATAATGCTCAACTTTCACATTTACAGTGGTGATGCAGTGTTAACATCTGTATAGCTAGCTTCATAGTATATCTGTACCTATAAATACAGATTCCCATGGACAAAGAGGACTTTTGATTATGTGCATTAGTGAATAACAATTAGGACAGATTCTTTTCCTAGTGACAGTAAATCTGGAGTAAATCCATGGAATTAATTGAAAGTTCAGCAGTTTTACAATAGTATAGACCATTGTAATATATTCAGTTGTGATACTGCAGACTTACACTGACATAATCATATATCTTGAGTTCATTTCATTTGGAGAAGGAAACTACAAATTACTAGAGTCAGCTTTACTCATCACCTCCCCAGAATCCCCATAAAAGCTCCAGAACAGGTATGACTTTTCCAGATTAAGCAAACGTGCATTGTCATTCTAAACAATGCCTTCCCACGTGGTACCGAACCATGTTAATTTAGTCAATTGCAGGAACATCTTACATTTCCGTAATACTTTTCATCCCAGAGGTTTTAGTGGAATGCTTTGACTCTCCTTTGCTGCACATAAGCTTATTAGTTAAAGATATGTTTATATCCAGTGCTTGCAGCCTGTTCTGCTTCCCACTGCTGTGAAGCTCCTCCCTGGAGCCTATGCAGCTCAGTCTGAAGCTCTGGACAGCCATACCACCCACTGACCACCCAGGAAACTCATCCAACTGAAGCCGTGAATGAATGTGAAAGGCTGTCAGAGTAAAGCCACACTTTGCAGGTGAAAATCAGCCAAATCTCACTGCTTGTGACATACACATGAGGCACGAAGTGGGTCGTAAATCTGAAAACAATGGATAAATGGCCTGACCTGAAGAATATGAAATTGGATGAAGCATACAGAGAGACCCAGCCTGAGAGAGAATCTAGGTCAGATGAAGGCCAGACAAAAGCTGAGCATTTTTGTCATGTTGCATTCTCAGATTATGCCATGAATATCTAACGCAGAGAGGAAAATCTTCCATATAGGTTTTGACCCTCCTTTACCTCCACTTTTGATAATAGCTCTCATGACACTGAATGCAGAATATTATTTAATTGAATTTGTTAACTAACTCTGGCAATAAGGGAATTAGAGCCCTTAGTAAATCTTTTCACCTCAAGATCTAAACAAACAGGATCAGATTGCTATCTGGTGTAATCTAATTGAGTTCCATGGATTTACAACCACAGCCAAATTTTAGCCAATAAAGAGAAGAATATAACTGTTTCATTCTAGCATTTGTGACATCATAAAGCTAATATAACTGTGCAATGAAGGGAAGATTTCTGAGCACATTTGTCTAATTTAAGTCTCATTTATAATGGAAAGTAATTAAACACATTCCATGAAATTGGAGAAAGCAGAAAAGAATTCTTAAGGATGTCACTTCATCTGTGGGACTGAGATGTACTTTGTTGTCTCCTGCTGTTTATCTTTAGCTCTGCAAGCAGGAGTTCACATTTATGTTCAGCTATTAACTGCCAACCTAAAGCCCATTGGAAGATGCATGTCGTTTCCAGAAGGATCTTAATAAACACCACGAGTGGAGAGACATTTCACACTTGGCAGTTCATCTGTCAGAGCAAGAGATAACTTCAAATTATTTCCATGACCATTCTGCAAGTATTTGTGGAAGATGACTAGCACCAAGAATATAATACTTAGGGAAGACACAAGTTAGAGAGGACTCACTGGTTTCTCAAGGAGAGAGCCCAGCTCAGCAAGCTCAGGGGTGACACTTGTCTTACCATTGATATGCTACACCAAGTTCATCAGGCCAGTTGAAGAAATTGGAAATTTCAATGAAAAGCACAGCATTCCATGACTCTGGGGTGCCACTGTCAAAGCTCTCTCATCCACGTCATGGCAAGCAGAGCATCTGCAGGAGGAGATTGGCACAGACAAGTGCTTGCATCCCACAGAGAAGAGCGCATCCTTCAGCCTCCGTGGGGTCCTG